CATATTAATTATATACATGATTTGATCATTATTATGCATAACATTTACATTGCATTTAACTAACCATTACACATGCATAATTTGTATTCTATGTATCTGCATTTATTATTCTCATTACGTTGACTAACCTCATAAAGACCCCCCAAAATGTGTTATGGGAAGCGGCTCTAGGATATATTGAATTTACAGTTCATTATTGCATAAGAATAGAATCTTTAGGATTTAACTACATATAATCATAGAGATCCATAAACCACTGGTTCTCTCATTCTTTATCTCATTCTGGTCCTTCGAGCATCTTAGCATATAAACTAGAACCAGATTTCCCCACACTCCTTCCCCAGCCTCGGGACCCACACTCTCCTCCCCCAGCCTCGGGACCCACACTCTCCTCCCCCAGCCTCGGGACCCACACTCTCCTCCCCCAGCCTCGTGACCCATGCTCTCCTTCCCCAGCCTCATGACCCATGCTCTCCTCCCCCAGCCTCGTGACCCACACTCTCCTCCCCCAGCCTCGTGACCCACACTCTCCTCCCCCAGCCTCGGGACCCTCACTCTCCTCCCCCAGCCTCGGGACCCACACTCTCCTCCCCCAGCCTCGGGACCCACACTCTCCTCCCCCAGCCTCGTGACCCACACTCTCCTCCCCCAGCCTCATGACCCACACTCTCCTCCCCCAGCCTCGGGACCCACACTCTCCTCCCCCAGCCTCGGGACCCTCACTCTCCTCCCCCAGCCCCGGGACCCACACTCTCCTCACCTAGCCTCGGGATCCTCTCTCTCCTCCTCCAGCCTCGGGACCCACACTCTCCTCATCCAGCCTCGGGACCCTCACTCTTCTTCCCCAGCCTCGGGACCCACACTCTCCTTCCCCAGCCCCAGGACCCACACTCTCCTCCCCCAGCCTCGGGACCCTCACTCTTCTTCCCCAGCCTCGGGACCCACACTCTCCTCCCCCAGCCTCGGGACCCTCACTCTCCTCCCCCAGCCTCGGGACCCACACTCTCCTCACCTAGCCTCGGGATCCTCTCTCTCCTCCTCCAGCCTCGGGACCCACACTCTCCTCCCCCAGCCTCGGGACCCTCACTCTTCTTCCCCAGCCTCGGGACCCACACTCTCCTTCCCCAGCCTCAGGACCCACACTCTCCTCCCCCAGCCTCGGGACCCTCACTCTCCTCCCCCAGTCTCGGGACCCTCACTCTTCTTCCCCAGCCTCGGGACCCACACTCTCCTCCCCCAGCCTCAGGACCCTCACTCTCCTCCCCCAGCCTCGGGACCCACACTCTCCTCCCCCAGCCTCGGGACCCTCACTCTGCTTCCCCAGCCTCGGGACCCACACTCTCCTTCCCCAGCCTCTGGACCCTCACTCTCCTCCCCCAGCCTCGGGACCCTCACTCTCCTCCCCCAGCCTCGGGACCCTCACTCTCCTCCCCCAGCCTCGGGACCCACACTCTCCTCCCCCAGCCTCGGGACCCACACTCTCCTCCCCCAGCCTCGTGACCCACACTCTCCTCCCCCAGCCTCGTGACCCATGCTCTCCTTCCCCAGCCTCATGACCCACACTCTCCTCCCCCAGCCTCGGGACCCACACTCTCCTCCCCCAGCCTCGGGACCCTCACTCTCCTCCCCCAGCCCTGGGACCCACACTCTCCTCACCTAGCCTCGGGATCCTCTCTCTCCTCCTCCAGCCTCGGGACCCACACTCTCCTCATCCAGCCTCGGGACCCGGCCTCACTCTTCTTCCCCAGCCTCGGGACCCACACTCTCCTTCCCCAGCCCCAGGACCCACACTCTCCTCCCCCAGCCTCGGGACCCTCACTCTACTTCCCCAGCCTCGGGACCCACACTCTCCTCCCCCAGCCTCGGGACCCTCACTCTCCTCCCCCAGCCTCGGGACCCACACTCTCCTCACCTAGCCTCGGGATCCTCTCTCTCCTCCTCCAGCCTCGGGACCCACACTCTCCTCCCCCAGCCTCGGGACCCTCACTCTTCTTCCCCAGCCTCGGGACCCACACTCTCCTTCCCCAGCCTCAGGACCCACACTCTCCTCCCCCAGCCTCGGGACCCTCACTCTCCTCCCCCAGCCTCGGGACCCTCACTCTTCTTCCCCAGCCTCGGGACCCACACTCTCCTCCCCCAGCCTCAGGACCCTCACTCTCCTCCCCCAGCCTCGGGACCCACACTCTCCTCCCCCAGCCTCGGGACCCTCACTCTTCTTCCCCAGCCTCGGGACCCACACTCTCCTTCCCCAGCCTCAGGACCCTCACTCTCCTCCCCCAGCCTCGGGACCCTCACTCTCCTCCCCCAGCCGTGGGACCCTGACTCTCCTCCCCCAGCCTCGGGACCCACACTCTCCTCCCCCAGCCTCGGGACCCTCACTCTTCTTCCCCAGCCTCGGGACCCACACTCTCCTTCCCCAGCCTCAGGACCCTCACTCTCCTCCCCCAGCCTCGGGACCCTCACTCTCCTCCCCCAGCCTCGGGACCCTGACTCTCCTCCCCCAGCCTCGGGACCCACACTCTCCTCCCCCAGCCTCGGGACCCACACTCTCCTCCCCCAGCCTCGGGAACCTCACTCTCCTCCCCCAGCCTCGGGACCCACACTCTCGTCCCCCAGCCTTAGGAGCCTCTCTCTCCTCCCCCAGCCTCGGGACCCACACTCTCCTCCCCCAGCCTCAGGAACCTCACTCTCCTCCCCCAGCCTCGGGACCCACACTCTCGTCCCCCAGCCTTAGGAGCCTCTCTCTCCTCCCCCAGCCTTATGACCCTCTCTCTCCTCCCCCAGCCTCGGGACCCACACTCTCCTCACCCAGCCTCGGGATCCTCTCTCTCCTCCCCCAGCCTCGGGACCCACACTCTCCTTCCCCAGCCTTAGGACCCTCTCTCTCCTCCCCAGCCTCGGGACCCACACTCTCCTCCCCCAGCCTCAGGACCCTCACTCTCCTCCCCCAGCCTCGGGACCCACACTCTCCTCCCCCAGCCTCGGGACCCCTCACTCTCCTCCCCCAGCCTCGGGACCCACACTCTCCTCCCCCAGCCTCGGGACCCCTCACTCTCCTCCCCCAGCCTCAGGACCCTATCTCTCCTCCCCCAGCCTCGGGACCCACACTCTTCTCCCCCAGCCTCGAGATCCACACTCTCCTCCCTCAGCCTCGGGACCCACACTCTCCCCCCCAGCCTCAGGACCCTCACTCTCCTCCTCCAGCCTTAGGACCCACACTCTCCTCCCCCAGCCTCGGGACCCTCTCTCTCCTCACCCAGCCTCAGGACCCTCTCTCTCCTCCCCCAGCCTCGGGACCCACACTCTCCTCCCCCCAGCTTCGATACCCACACTCTCCTCCCCCAGCCTCAGGACCCTATCTCTCCTCCCCCAGCCTCGGGACCCACACTCTCCTCCCCCAGCCTCGAGATCCACACTCTCCTCCCCCAGCCTCGGGACCCACACTCTCCTCCCCCAGCTTCGATACCCACACTCTCCTCCCCCAGCCTCAGGACCCTATCTCTCCTCCCCCAGCCTCGGGACCCACACTCTCCTCCCCCAGCCTCGAGATCCACACTCTCCTCCCCCAGCCTCGGGACCCACACTCTCCCCCCCCAGCCTCAGGACCCTCACTCTCCTCCACCAGCCTCAGGACCCTCTCTCTCCTCCCCCAGCCTCGGGACCCTCTCTCTCCTCACCCAGCCTCAGGACCCTCTTTCTCCTCCACCAGCTTCAGGACCCTCTCTCTCCTCCCCCAGCCTCGGGACCCACACTCTCCTCCCCCCAGCTTCGATACCCACACTCTCCTCCCCCAGCCTCAGGACCCTCACTCTGCTCCCCCAGCCTCGGGACCCTGACTCTCCTCCACCAGCCTCAGGACCCACACTCTCCTCCTCCAGGTTCAGGACCCCCACTCTTCCCCCCCCCCCAGCCTGTGTGGGGAGCAACATACTCCTGGTGTATTACCAGGGGCCGGACAACATCTGGCTCGTGTGTGGGGGAGCAACATACTCCTGGTGTATTACCAGGGGCCGGACAACATCTGGCTCGTGTGTGGGGGAGCAACATACTCCCGGTATATTACCAAGGGCCGGACAACATCTGGCTCGTGTGTGGGGGAGCAACATACTCCCGGTGTATTACCAAGGGCCGGACAACATCTGGCTCGTGTGTGGGGAGCAACATACTCCTGGTGTATTACCAGGGGCCGGACAACATCTGGCTCGTGTGTGGGGAGCAACATACTCCTGGTGTATTACCAGGGGCCGGACAACATCTGGCTCGTGTGTGGGGAGCAACATACTCCTGGTGTATTACCAGGGGCCGGACAACATCTGGCTCGTGTGTGGGGAGCAACATACTCCTGGTGTATTACCAGGGGCCGGACAACATCTGGCTCGTGTGTGGGGAGCAACATACTCCTGGTGTATTACCAGGGGCCGGACAACATCTGGCTCGTGTGTGGGGAGCAACATACTCCTGGTGTATTACCAGGGGCCGGACAACATCTGGCTCGTGTGTGGGGAGCAACATACTCCTGGTGTATTACCAGGGGCCGGACAACATCTGGCTCGTGTGTGGGGAGCAACATACTCCTGGTGTATTACCAAGGGCCTGACAACATCTGGCTCGTGTGTGGGGAGCAACATACTCCTGGTGTATTACCAGGGGCCGGACAACATCTGGCTCGTGTGTGGGGAGCAACATACTCCTGGTGTATTACCAGGGGCCGGACAACATCTGGCTCGTGTGTGGGGAGCAACATACTCCTGGTGTATTATCAAGGGCCTGACAACATCTGGCTCGTGTGTGGGGAGCAACATATTCCCGGTGTATTACCAAGGGCCTGACAACATCTGGCTCGTGTGTGGGGGAGCAACATATTCCTGGTGTATTACCAAGGGCCTGACAACATGTGGCTCGTGTGTGGGGGAGCATAAATGGTGGCGTAAAACATGAGAGCTGGCATCCGCCCGCCTCTTCAAGGTCTTTCCCATCCAGAATATTGTTAGCGTTCATTCCCAGCCCACACAACCCCTAGTGCAGCACTGTCCCTCCTGCACCACTCTTGCGTGTTGTTGAGTGTTTACACCAGTACCAGGTGAGGCACAGCTATTGTGTGATGTTGTGTGTTTACACCAGTACCAGGTGAGGCACGGCTATTGTGTGATGTTGTGTGTTTACACCAGTACCAGGTGAGGCACGGCTATTGTGTGATGTTGTGTGTTTACACCAGTACCAGGTGAGGCACGGCTATTGTGTGATGTTGTGTGTTTACACCAGTACCAGGTGAGGCACGGCTATTGTGTGATGTTGTGTGTTTACACCAGTACCAGGTGAGGCACGGCTATTGTGTGATGTTGTGTGTTTACACCAGTACCAGGTGAGGCACGGCTATTGTGTGATGTTGTGTGTTTACACCAGTACCAGGTGAGGCACGGCTATTGTGTGATGTTGTGTGTATACACCAGTACCAGGTGAGGCACGGCTATTGTGTGATGTTGAGTGTTTACACCAGTACCAGGTGAGGCACGACTGTTGTGGAATGTGGTTTCACATCACAAAGTGTTATTGATAACGATATACGGCTTCATAATGGTCCAGGGCGAACCGAAACATAGTCGTCTCTTCATCTGGTGTGTGGTTTGGTCATTAAAATTGTGATTATAGTGTTAAGTGTGAGTAATACAACAGTAGGAGTATTCACAGTCAACAACAGTAGGAGTGCACACACAGGCAACAACAGGAGTATACACACAGGCAACAACAGGAGGAGTATACACACAGGCAACAACAGGAGGAGTGAACACAGGAGTGTGTACAGGAGTGTACACAGAAGTGTACTCTCCTGTGTACACAGGAGTGTTGAGAGGAAGGGGAGAAGGCTGGTGGAGTCAAAGTTAAACAACTGGATGAACATAGAGTATTAATTGTACAAATGAATATGCATTTAACACCAAGGTCCGACTTGTGGAACTTTGTATTCATAAAGATATACTAATATGACTTGCAGATATGTTCAGGTGGTGAGGTGGGTGGCTGGTGAGGTGGGTGGATGGTGAGGTGGGTGGTTGGTGAGGTGGGTGGTTGGTGAGGCGGGTGGTTGGTGAGGTGGGTGGTTGGTGAGGTGGGTGGTTGGTGAGGTGGGTGGTTGGTGAGGTGGGTGGTTGGTGAGGCGGGTGGTTGGTGAGGTGGGTAGTTGGTGAGGTGGGTGGTTGGTGAGGTGGGTGGTTGGTGAGGTGGGTGGTTGGTGAGGTGGGTGGTTGGTGAGGTGGGTGGTTGGTGAGGCGGGTGGTTGGTGAGGTGGGTGGCTGGTGAGGTGGGTGGATGGTGAGGTGGGTGGTTGGTGAGGTGGGTGGTTGGTGAGGCGGGTGGTTGGTGAGGTGGGTGGTTGGTGAGGTGGGTGGTTGGTGAGGTGGGTGGTTGGTGAGGTGGGTGGTTGGAGAGGTGGGTGGTTGGTGAGGTGGGTGGTTGGTGAGGTGGGTGGTTGGTGAGGCGGGTGGTTGGTGAGGTGGGTGGTTGGTGAGGTGGGTGGTTGGTGAGGCGGGTGGTTGGTGAGGTGGGTGGTTGGTGAGGTGGGTGGTTGGTGAGGTGGGTGGTTGGTGAGGTGGGTGGTTGGAGAGGTGGGTGGTTGGTGAGGTGGGTGGTTGGTGAGGTGGGTGGTTGGTGAGGTGGGTGGTTGGTGAGGTGGGTGGTTGGTGAGGTGGGTGGTTGGTGAGGTGGGTGGTTGGTGAGGTGGGTGGTTGGAGAGGTGGGTGGTTGGTGAGGTGGGTGGTTGGTGAGGTGGGTGGTTGGTGAGGTGGGTGGTTGGTGAGGTGGGTGGTTGGAGAGGTGGGTGGTTGGTGAGGTGGGTGGTTGGTGAGGTGGGTGGTTGGTGAGGTGGGTGGTTGGTGAGGTGGTTGGTTGGAGAGATGGGTGGTTGGTGAGGTGGGTGGTTGGTGAGGTGGGTGGTTGGTGAGGTGGGCGGCTTGTGAGGTGGTTGGTTGGTGAGGTGGGTGGTTGGTGAGGTGGGTGGTTGGTGAGGTGGTTGGTTGGAGAGGTGGGTGGTTGGTGAGGTGGGTGGTTGGTGAGGTGGGTGGTTGGTGAGGTGGGTGGTTGGTGAGGTGGTTGGTTGGAGAGGTGGGTGGTTGGTGAGGTGGGTGGTTGGTGAGGTGGTTGGTTGGTGAGGTGGGTGGCTTGTGAGGTGGTTGGTTGGTGAGGTGGGTGGTTGGTGAGGTGGGTGGTTGGTGAGGTGGTTGGTTGGAGAGGTGGGTGGTTGGTGAGGTGGGTGGCTGGTGAGGTGGGTGGCTGGTGAGGTGGGTGGTGGGTGTGGTGGGTGGTTGGGGGTGAGGTGGGTGGCTTGTGAGGTGGTTGGTTGGAGAGGTGGGTGGTTGGTGAGGTGGGTGGTTGTGAGGTGGGTGGTTGGTGGGTGGGTGGCTGGTAGGTGGGTGGTTGGTGGAGGTTGGGGTTGGTGAGGTGGGTGGTTGGTGAGGTGGGTGGTTGGTGAGGTGGGTGGTTGGTGAGGTGGGTGGTTGGTGAGGTGGGTGGTTGGTGGGTGGGTGGTTGGTGAGGTGGGTGGTTGGTGAGGTTGGTGGTTGGTGAGGTGGGTGGTTGGTGAGGTGGGTGGTTGGTGAGGTGGGTGGTTGGTGAGGTGGGTGGCTGGTGAGGTGGGTGGTTGGTGAGGTGGGTGGGTGGTGAGGTGGGTGGGTGGTGAGGTGGGTGGGTGGTGAGGTGGGTGGTTGGTGGTGGGAGGTTGGGGGTGGTGGCTGGTGGGTGGGTGGTGGTGAGGTGGGTGGTTGGTGAGGTGGGTGGTTGGTGAGGTGGGTGGTTGGTGTGGTGGGTGGTTGGTGTGGTGGGTGGTTGGTGAGGTGGGTGGTTGGTGAGGTGGGTGGCTGGTGAGGTGGGTGGTTGGTGAGGTGGGTGGTTGGTGAGGTGGGTGGTTGGTGAGGTGGGTGGTTGGTGAGGTGGGTGGTCGGTGAGGTGGGTGGTCGGTGAGGTGGGGGTTGGTGAGGTGGGTGGTTGGTGAGGTGGGTGGTTGGTGAGGTGGGTGGCTGGTGAGGTGGGGGTGGTTGTGGGAGGTGGGTGGCTGTTGTGAGGTGGGTGGGTGGTTGGAGGTGGGTGGTTGGTGAGGTGGGTGGTTGGTGAGGTGGGTGGTTGGTGAGGTGGGTGGTTGGTGAGGTGGGTGGTCGGTGAGGTGGGTGGTCGGTGAGGTGGGTGGTCGGTGAGGTGGGTGGTTGGTGAGGTGGGTGGTTGGTGAGGTGGGTGGCTGGTGAGGTGGGTGGCTGGTGAGGTGGTTGGTTGGTGAGGTGGGTGGCTGGTGAGGTGGGTGGTTGGTGAGGTGGGTGGCTGGTGAGGTGGGTGGTTGGTGAGGTGGGTGACTGGTGAGGTGGGTGGCTGGTGAGGTGGTTGGTTGGTGAGGTGGTTGGTTGGTGAGGTGGGTGGCTGGTGAGGTGGGTGGTTGGTGAGGTGGGTGGCTGGTGAGGTGAGTGGTTGGTGAGGTGGGTGGTTGGTGAGGTGGGTGGTTGGTGAGGTGGGTGACTAGTGAGGTGGGTGACTAGTGAGGTGGGTGGTTGGTGAGGTGGGTGGTTGGTGAGGTGGGTGGTTGGTGAGGTGGGTGGTCGGTGAGGTGGGTGGTCGGTGAGGTGGGTGGTCGGTGAGGTGGGTGGTTGGTGAGGTGGGTGGTTGGTGAGGTGGGTGGCTGGTGAGGTGGGTGGCTGGTGAGGTGGTTGGTTGGTGAGGTGGGTGGCTGGTGAGGTGGTTGGTTGGTGAGGTGGGTGGCTGGTGAGGTGGGTGGTTGGTGAGGTGGGTGGTTGGTGAGGTGGGTGACTGGTGAGGTGGGTGGCTGGTGAGGTGGTTGGTTGCTGAGGTGGTTGGTTGGTGAGGTGGGTGGCTGGTGAGGTGGGTGGTTGGTGAGGTGGGTGGCTGGTGAGGTGAGTGGTTGGTGAGGTGGGTGGTTGGTGAGGTGGGTGGTTGGTGAGGTGGGTGACTAGTGAGGTGGGTGACTAGTGAGGTGGTGGGTGAGGTGTGAGGTGGGTGGTTGGTGGGTGGGTGGTTGGTGAGGTGGGTGGTCGGTGAGGTGGGTGGTCGGTGAGGTGGGTGGTTGGTGAGGTGAGTGGCTGGTGAGGTGGGTGGCTGGTGAGGTGGGTGGCTGGTGAGGTGGGTGGTTGGTGAGGTGGGTGGTTGGTGAGGTGGGTGGTTGGTGAGGTGGGTGACTAGTGAGGTGGGTGAATGGTGAGGTGGGTGGTTGGTGAGGTGGGTGGTTGGTGAGGTGGGTGGTTGGTGAGGTGGGTGGTTGGTGAGGTGGGTGGTTGGTGAGGTGGGTGGTTGGTGAGGTGGGTGGCTGGTGAGGTGGGTGGCTGGTGAGGTGGGTGGTTGGTGAGGTGGGTGACTGGTGAGGTGGGTGGCTGGTGAGGTGGGTGGTTGGTGAGGTGGGTGGTTGGTGAGGTGGGTGACTGGTGAGGTGGGTGGTTGGTGAGGTGGGTGGCTGGTGAGGTGGGTGGTTGGTGAGGTGGGTGGTTGGTGAGGTGGGTGACTGGTGAGGTGGGTGGTTGGTGAGGTGGGTGGTTGGAGAGGTGGGTGGTTGGTGAGGTGGGTGGTTGGTGAGGTGGGTGGTTGGTGAGGTGGGTGGTTGGAGAGGTGGGTGGTTGGTGAGGTGGGTGGTTGGTGAGGTGGGTGGTTGGTGAGGTGGGTGGCTTGTGAGGTGGTTGGTTGGTGAGGTGGGTGGTTGGTGAGGTGGGTGGTTGGTGAGGTGGTTGGTTGGAGAGGTGGGTGGTTGGTGAGGTGGGTGGTTGGTGAGGTGGGTGGTTGGTGAGGTGGGTGGTTGGTGAGGTGGGTGGTTGGTGAGGTGGGTGGTTGGTGAGGTGGTTGGTTGGAGAGGTGGGTGGTTGGTGAGGTGGGTGGTTGGTGAGGTGGTTGGTTGCTGAGGTGGGTGGCTTGTGAGGTGGTTGGTTGGTGAGGTGGGTGGTTGGTGAGGTGGGTGACTGGTGAGGTGGGTGGCTGGTGAGGTGGTTGGTTGGTGAGGTGGTTGGTTGGTGAGGTGGGTGGCTGGTGAGGTGGGTGGTTGGTGAGGTGGGTGGTTGGTGAGGTGGGTGGCTGGTGAGGTGGGTGGTTGGTGAGGTGGGT